TGAGGCCTGGGTCTACAGCCTGAGTCCTGGGTCTACAGCCTGAGTCCTGGGTCTACAGCCTCAGTCCTGGGTCTACAGCCTCAGTCCTGGGTCTACAGCCTCAGTCCTGGATCTACAGCCTCAGTCCTGGGTCTACAACCTCAGTCCTGGGTCTGCAGCCTCAGTCCTGGATCTACAGTCTCAGTCCTGGTCTACAGCCTCAGTCCTGGGTCTACAACCTCAGTCCTGGGTCTACAACCTCAGTCCTGGGTCTACAGCCCCAGTCCTGGATCTACAGTCTCAGTCCTGGTCTACAGCCTCAGTCCTGGGTCTACAGCCTCAGTCCTGGGTCTACAGCCTCAGTCCTGGATCTACAGCCTCAGTCCTGGATCTACAGCCTCAGTCCTGGTCTACAGCCTCAGTCCTGGGTCTACAGCCTCAGTCCTGGGTCTACAGCCTCAGTCTTGGATCTACAGCCTCAGTCCTGGGTCTACAGCCTCAGTCCTGGGTCTACAGCCTCAGTCCTGGATCTACAGCCTCAGTCCTGGATCTACAGCCTCAGTCCTGGATCTACAGCCTCAGTCCTGGGTCTACAGCCTCAGTCTTGGGTCTAAACTGTATTATTATTAGTATTTATGTATTGATTTATAATCAGGTGCAGAACAGATCCGTCGCTGTGAGTTTAAAGTCTCTGTGTAGAAAAACAAACTAAAGAAAAACTCACCGGTCTGTGAATCTGCGGAGTGGTTCTGTGAGCAGCAGACCCAGGGAGGCGTGGCTGAACGGCGGCTGGCGCAGCAGGCGGTACCTCAGCGGGTCACAGCTCCGGCACTGCTCGCAAGCGGGTTTGGAGGTCAGCAGCGCGGCATCGATCTCCAGGTGCTGCTCCATGGTGAAGACCTGCACCCCGAACACCCGCTCCTCCACCTCCAGCTTCATGGTCAGGGGCGTGTCGCAGAACACGTTGCTGGGACCCAGAGAGATGTTGTTCCCGTCCACGGTGAGCAGCAGGATGTTGTGGATCGCCGGGAGCGCCGTCTCCTCGGAGCCGAAGAAGGTGACCCAGAGGGAGAGAGAGTCCGGGACCAGCGGGTGAGCAAACTCCAGCTGTAGCATGCAGCCCTGCAGCGGGCACTCGGACAGGCCCACGGTGCCCTGGTCTGTGCCGGCGTTGGGGCTCCAGGTGCGGACGCTCGGCTCGCACACCTGCTCCACGTCCGGGGGTCCTGGGGGGGGGGGGGGGGGGGGGGGGGGGCACAGGTAAGAGCAGTGGATGTGGATGTGTGTGGGTTAGATTTATAAAAGAGAACCATAGCATCTAATTTGGAGAATTATCTTGTCGCCCCAAAACTGGACCCCTTTGGCCCCCCCTGGCCCCCTCTGGACCTTGGCAGTCTAAAGTTATGTTCATAAAACCCTGAACAAACCCAGTGAACAAAGGGCAGGACTGACGAGGCCAAAACCCACTGGAAACTGCTCTGACAGAAATATGTGACATTCTATATAAGAGTCTGATGAAGACCATGTGTAGGCCTCATGTACTATGCACCGCTACTGCTGACACGGAACATACTCTGGACCATCGCGGACCATGGAACATACTCTGGAACATCACAAACCATGGATCATACTCTGGACCATCACGGACCACGGAACATACTCTGGAACATCCAGGACCATGGAACATACTCTGCAACATCACGGACCATGGAACATACTCTGGAACATCACAGACCATGGAACATACTTTGGACCATTACGGACCACGGAACATACTCTGGAACATCCAGGACCATGGAACATACTCTGGAACATCCAGGACCATGGAACATACTCTGGAACATCCAGGACCATGGAACATACTCTGGAACATACAGGACCATGGAACATACTCTGGAACATCCAGGACCATGGAACATACTCTGGAACATCCAGGACCATGGAACATACTCTGGAACATACAGGACCATGGAACATACTCTGGAACATCCAGGACCATGGAATATACTCTGGAACATCACAGACCATGGAACATACTCTGGAACATCCAGGACCATGGAACATACTCTGGAACATCACGGACCATGGAACATACTCTGGAACATCCAGGACCATGGAACATACTCTGGAACATCACAGACCATGGAACATACTCTGGAACATCCAGGACCATGGAACATACTCTGGAACATCACAGACCATGGAACATACTCTGGAACATCCAGGACCATGGAACATACTCTGGAACATCATGGACCATGGAACATACTCTGGAACATCACGGACCATGGACCATACTCTGCAACATCACGGACCATGGAACATACTCTGGAACATCACGGACCATGGAACATACTCTGCAACATCACGGACCATGGAACATACTCTGCAACATCCAGGACCATGGAACATACTCGGGAACATCCAGGACCATGGAACCTACTCTGGAACATCCAGGACCATGGAACATACTCGGAAACATCCAGGACCATGGAACATACTCTGGACCATCACAGACCATGGAACATACTCTGGAACATCACGGACCATGGAACATACTCTGGACCATCACGGACCATGGAACATACTCTGGAACATCCAGGACCATGGAACATACTCAGGAACATCCAGGACCATGGAACATACTCTGGAACATCCAGGACCATGGAACATACTCAGGAGCATCCAGGACCATGGAACATACTCTGGAACATCCAGGACCATGGAACATACTCTGGAACATCACGGACCATGGAACATACTCTGGAACATCACGGACCATGGAACATACTCTGGACCATCACGGACCATGGAACATACTCTGGAACATCCAGGACCATGGAACATACTCAGGAACATCCAGGACCATGGAACATACTCTGGAACATCCAGGACCATGGAACATACTCAGGAGCATCCAGGACCATGGAACATACTCTGGAACATCCAGGACCATGGAACATACTCTGGAACATCCAGGACCATGGAACATACTCAGGAGCATCCAGGACCATGGAACATACTCTGGAACATCCAGGACCATGGAACATACTCAGGAACATCCAGGACCATGGAACATACTCTGCAACATCACAGACCATGGAACATACTCTGGAATATCACGGACCATGGAACATACTCAGGAACATCCAGGACCATGGAACATACTCTGGAACATCACAGACCATGGAACATACTCTGGAACATCCAGGACCATGGAACATACTCAGGAACATACAGGACCATGGAACATACTCTGGAACATCACAGACCATGGAACATACTCAGGAACATACAGGACCATGGAACATACTCTGCAACATTACGGACCATGGAACATACTCTGGAACATTACGGACCATGGAACATACTCTGGAACATCATGGACCATGGAACATACCAGCACTGTTATTGCCAGTCTTTCTTTTGTTGCCACTTTTTATTATACATAATTATATTCTATAGTTATGTACATGTTTCCAGTGTGAGATCAATAAAGTCTCTCTTATCTTATCTTATATGTGACAGTACATGTATGTAACACGTATGTAATAGAACATATGTAACATGTATGTAACAGTACATATATGTGGCACTATATATATGTAACAAGTATGTGGTGGTACATATATGTAAAATGTATGTAACAGTACATGTATGCGACATGTATCTAACATGTATGTAAAATGTATGTAACATATATGTAATAGTACACATATGTGGCAGTACATGTATGTAACATGTATGTGTCAGTACATGTATGTAACATGTATGTGTCAGTACATGTATGTAACATGTATGTAACATGTATGTAACAGTACCTTCAGCCTCCCGCGGTGACCAGTGTCCCGAGGGCCCACAGGGGCGGGGAGAGGAGGCGTTGGAGGCGAACTGCAGCAGGATCCCTCCTTCTGTGCATTGATCACACACTGATCCCAATTCTCTAGGAAACCAACAGTAACACACAACACACAACTTAGATACAACAGAACGCTACACACTCCACAGAGGACCAGGTGGAAGTATGTTACAATCAAGACATTTGCATTTAGCAGGATTACAACAAAAGCTAACAATAAATATGTGAATAAACAATAAAACTAAAAACTAAAACCAGGGTCTCTGGGTCTAAGGCTTCTCTGTTGAGGACCGTCGAGTCTCAGTCGGGTTCTCTTTTTTTCTGGGTTTAAGTGATGTCATCCATTAAACCAGGACGACCTGCACTGAAACGCACTGGTTCACAGCCGAGAAGGTCCAGAGAAAACCAGAGTAAGTCCATGGTAATAAGACCATGGATCAGTCCAGGATCAGAGTTCATGTTGATCCTGGACCTAAAACCCTGATCTAACCTAGCCCTAACTCTCCTCTGACCCTACACCTCCAGGTCCCTCTTTAATGAGGCCCTGGGGACGACCCAGGACCAGCTGCAGGGACTGTGTCACTCAGCTGGTCCTGGGATCTACTCAGACAGCTGCCTCCGCCACCCGGCAACAGATAAAGCAGAAGAAATTAAAGGTTTGACAACAGATAATAAAAATAAAACATCTCACACAAGATAATCCTGTTCACCTGTCGTAGAAGTGCCCAGAGATCGGCAGGAACCACTCCAGAGTCACCGAGGAGTGACTCTGCTCCACAACCTGAGGCGGCATCGGCACCAGAGGGGACTTCCACATGGTCTGCCAGCTCTGGTAGATCAGGTCCAGGTAACAGTGCATCCTGGCCACCTGGTTCAACGTGAAGGAGTCTGTGCACGAGTCATCTGTGCAGGAAACATTCATCAAACACATGTGGATTCTTCAGAAACATGTCTTTGTATGTTTTTCACATTTAAAGATGCAGTCGGTGATTTTTTACAGACGCATTTTTTCAACATTGTGGGAAAACGTCCCTAAACCCTAAAAGTAGGAAGTAATCATGTGTTTTCAAATAGTAATGGAATGGACCAGATGCCTATTGTCTACAAACATTAATAAAACATATTTTGGAGCGGACCGATAAAATAAACCAATGGGATGTGTTTACTGCCTTCTGTCATGGTGTGGATTTTATTTCTGTATTTTTGTTTTATTTTACTCCCAGGGGGGAGTGGTTTTGAGTTGGTGCTACGGCTAAGCTAACTAAATTGCTTACTGCATCTTTAAAAGTCCGATTCAGCGACTGTGAACGTACCGGCGTAGCTCATGTAGTTGTTGAACGGCGTGTTTTTAAACTGGCGAGCGCCGCAGGTCTCGTTGGCAGACGCAGGGTCATGGCAGCCTTTGAACTTGGGGGTGGGGTTGGTGTCCGCACACAGGTCTCCAGTCTCCATTGAAGCCTCAGACTCCAGACATGCATCGTTGCAAGACTCGATCTCAGATATTCCTCTAAAAACATGATAGAGACCCAGACTGTGGCCGATCTCGTGGACCATGGTGTCAGTGTGACCAAAGGTCCCGTAGAAAGAAGGGTTCAACACAATGCCACCTACAAATAGAATAAAATACACTGCATGATGTAAATCTGTAATAACAGTCACTAGCATCATTAGCACATTAGCATCATTAGCTCCATTAGCATTAGCTGTATATGTCATATACATGAACTCCACATAGGACACTCGTACCTAAATGTGTGAGGGCTTCTTTGTCCCAGGGCCACGTGGCGACACCAGCGAGATCCTCATCGGTGGAATTGGCGAAGAAGACGTTTAGGTGAGTAGAGCCGTCCAACTGCAGGATCTCCTTCATCTCCTTTACATCCAGGTAAGCTCTGCAGGAGGAGAGAGAAGTCACTGAGGCTCTATTCACATAAACACAGTCCCAGTTGAGTTTATTATATGAACAAGTGTCTGTTACAGCCATCACCATGGCAACAACCAAGAAGAGTCTTTACCAGCTGCCTCAGCCTCGGTCCTGGGTCTACAGCCTCAGTCCTGGGTCTACAGCTTCAGTCAGACCCAGGGATCTACAGCCTCAGCCCTGAGTCTAGAGCCTCAGTCCTGGGTCTACAGCTTCAGTCCTGGGTCTACAGCCTCAGCCCTGGGTCTAGAGCCTCAGTCCTGGGTCTACAGCTTCAGTCCTGGGTCTACAGCCTCAGTCCTGGGTCTACAGCCTCAGTCCTGGGTCTACAGCCTCAGTCCTGGGTCTACAGCCTCAGCCCTGGGTCTAGAGCCTCAGTCCTGGGTCTACAGCTTCAGTCCTGGGTCTACAGCCTCAGTCCTGGGTCTACAGCCTCAGTCCTGGGTTTTCAGCCTCAGTCCTGGGTCTACAGCCTCAGTCCTGGGTCTACAGCCTCAGTCCTGGGTCTACAGCCTCAGTCCTGGGTCTACAGCTTCAGTCCTGGGTTTTCAGCCTCAGTCCTGGATCCAGCTCCTCAACGACTTCTCCATCCACTGCCCTGTTTCCCTCTTTCTCTTTTCATCATTTTCTTCCCGTCTGGAACGAGCCACTTGGGAAGAACAGGATTTTCCGTGCATTTAACCATTCCACAATTTAGACATGTTCTGGGAAAGTCTTTAAAACCGGAATGATAAAAGAGAGAGAAGAGAAGGAAAAGAAGATAAATGTTCGTTTAAGCTTCATTGAATAAAACCCAGAGTCAGGACGTTCCAGGCATTTACTGCAAAGTTATGTGGAGAGAGACCAGAGCGAGACCAGAGGGAGACCGGCAGGAGACCAGAGAGAGACCAGAGAGACCAGAGAGAGACCAGAGAGAGACCAGAGAGAGACCAGAGATAGACCAGAGAGAGACCAGAGACAGACCAGAGATAGACCAGAGAGAGACCAGAGATAGACCAGAGAGAGACCAGAGATAGACCGGAGAGAGACCAGAGAGAGACCAGAGAGAGACCAGAGCGAGACCAGAGGGAGACCGGCAGGAGACCAGAGAGAGACCAGAGAGACCAGAGGGAGACCAGAGAGAGACCAGAGCGAGACCAGAGGGAGACCGGCAGGAGACCAGAGAGAGACCAGAGAGAGACCAGAGGGAGACCGGAGAGAGACCAGAGATAGACCGGAGAGAGACCAGAGAGAGACCAGAGATAGACCAGAGAGAGACCAGAGAGAGACCACAGAGAGAGACCAGAGATAGACCAGAGAGAGACCAGAGAGAGACCAGAGAGAGACCAGAGAGAGACCATAGAGAGAGTCCAGGGAGAGACCAGAGAGAGACCAGAGAGAGACCACAGAGAGAGACCAGAGATAGACCAGAGAGAGACCAGAGAGAGACCACAGAGAGAGACCAGAGATAGACCAGAGAGAGACCAGAGAGAGACCAGAGAGAGACCACAGAGAGAGTCCAGAGAGAGACCAGAGAGAGACCAGAGAGAGACCATAGAGAGAGTCCAGAGAGAGACCAGAGAGAGACCAGAGAGAGACCACAGAGAGAGACCAGAGAGAGACCAGAGAGAGTCCAGCGAGAGATCAGAGAGAGACCAGAGATAGACCATAGATAGACCAGAGAGAGACCAGAGATAGACCAGAGAGAGTCCAGAGAGAGTCCAGAGAGAGACCAGAGAGAGACCAGAGAGAGAGACCAGAGAGAGAGACCAGAGAGAGACCAGAGAGAGTCTGGTCTCTCTCTCACCTTGTTACTGTAACTGTTTTGTTCACTCTCCTCAGACCATTTCTCTTCCTCAGACTCGGCCTGGAGCCACAGGTCTCTCTGGTGCCAAGATTCATATAGACATAAAACTCATCGTTGTGTTGGTGCCTCTGTCTCTGCTGTTTTAAATAGTGGCTGAGTGGTTAGCCCTCTCACCTCTCAGCTAAAAGATCCTGGACTGGAGTTTGCATGTTCTACCTGTGTCTTCGTAGGTTACCCCTGGGTTCTCCTGTTTTATCTACTGTTAAAAACATGTTCAATGGCTTCCTCTGGGTCTACAGCCTCAGTCCTGGGTCTACAGCCTCAGTCCTGGGTCTACAGCCTCAGTCCTGGGTCTACAGCTTCAGTCCTGGGTCTACAACCTCAGTCCCGGATCTACAACCTCAGTCCTGGGTCTACAGCCTCAGTCCCGGATCCACAGCCTCAGTCCTGGATCCACAGCCTCAGTCCTGGGTCTACAGCCTCAGTCCTGGATCCACAGCCTCAAAATCTGGGTCCACAGCCTCAAAATCTGGGTCTACAGCCTCGGTCCTGGGTCTATAGCCTCGGTCCTGGGTCTACAGCCTCGGTCCTGGGTCTACAGCCTCAGTCCTAAAAGTCCCAAAAGAATAATGTTCCCGGAGCACTCTCTTCCTCGTGGACCGGCTTCTGCGTCCGGCTCTTGTCTCGGTGTTTTACAGTTGACGTCTAAACCTTTCGCCCTCGTCCATAAAACATTATAGAGTGCTTTGGCGAAACATTTTAGTTCCTCTTTTTAAGGTCCAGAGTAAAGTGCCGTCTCAGAGTTATTCATGAAAGTGTCAACCCTTATTTTAGCTCTTTTTCAGGTGATAATAGTCAGTAATTACTCTCTGTGTTTCTAGGACTGAGGCCACTGCAGACTGTCAGAATACTGAGGCTGTAGACCCAGGACTGAGGCTGTAGACCCAGGACTGAGGCTGTAGACCCAGGACTGAGGCTGTAGACCCAGGACTGAGGCTGTAGAGACCCAGGACTGAGGCTGTAGACCCAGGACTGAGGCTATATAGACCCAGGACTGAGGCTGTAGACCCAGGACTGAGGCTGTATAGACCCAGGACTGAGGCTATATAGACCCAGGAATGAGGCTATATAGACCCAGGAGTGAGGCTGTAGACCCAGGACTGAGGCTTTAGACCCAGGACTGAGGCTGTAGACCCAGGACTGAGACCAGTAGAAACCAGCAGAACCAGTAGAACCAGCAAAACCAGCAGGAACCATTAGAACCAGCAAGAACCAGCAGACAAGCAAAACCAGCAAACCCAGTAGAACCAGCAGAACCAGCAGAACCAGGGCTGTAAAAACCATGAAGCTTTCCCTCACTCCCAAGCGCAGAAAAAAGAAGCCGTTATTATCGTGTTCTGTTCTGTGCAGAATCTTTGACGCAGGACGAGCAGATATTTCCAAACGCTGTGGTCAGAACTCGGCAACAACTGCAGCCATTGTTCCTCGTCCTATTGTTCCGTTTGTATCAGAGAAGAATGTTCACGACCCCGACGCCGCCGAGCGAAAATACCGTAGACCGAAGCTACAACAACAACAGATACTTGGAAAAACCAACGGGTCCGAGCTGCAGAGGGAGAAGAGTCTGTTCACTGCTATTCACCCGCTGTTCTGTGAGCTGTAGTCTGTTCACTGCTATTCACCCGCTGTTCTGTGAGCTGTAGTCTGTTCACTGCTATTCACCCGCTGTTCTGTGAGCTGTAGTCTGTTCACTGCTATTCACCCGATGTCCCTTTGTTGGTTTAAATTCTAGGACTCACAGAATTCTGGATCTACTAGAACTCCTGTCAAGACCAGAGAGAGACCGGAGAGAGAGACCAGAGAGAGAGCAGAGATAGACCAGAGAGAGACCAGAGAGAGACCAGAGAGAGAGAGACCGGAGAGAGAGACCAGAGAGAGACCAGAGAGAGAGCAGAGATAGACCAGAGAGAGACCAGAGAGAGAGAGACCAGAGAGAGACCAGAGAGAGAGAGACCGGAGAGAGAGACCAGAGAGAGACCAGAGAGAGACCAGAGAGAGAGAGACCAGAGAGAGACCAGAGAGAGAGACCAGAGAGAGAGACCGGAGAGAGAGACCAGAGAGAGAACAGAGAGAGAGACCAGAGACAGAGACCGGAGAGAGAGAGAGACCAGAGAGAGAGACCAGAGAGAGAGACCAGAGGGAGAGACAAGAGAGAGAGAGACCAGAGAGAGAGACCGGAGAGAGAGAGAGACCAGAGAGAGAGACCGGAGAGAGAGAGCAGAGAGAGACCAGAGAGAGACCAGAGAGAGAGACCAGAGAGAGAGAGACCAGAGAGAGACCAGAGAGAGAGACCAGAGGGAGAGACCGGAGAGAGAGAGAGACCAGAGAGAGAGACCAGAGAGAGAGACCAGAGAGAGAGACCAGAGGGAGAGACCAGAGAGAGAGAGACCAGAGGGAGAGACCGGAGAGAGAGAGAGACCAGAGAGAGAGACCAGAGAGAGAACAGAGAGAGAGACCAGAGAGAGAGACCGGAGAGAGAGAGACCAGAGAGAGACCAGAGAGAGAGACCAGAGGGAGAGACCAGAGAGAGAGAGACCAGAGGGAGAGACCGGAGAGAGAGAGAGACCAGAGAGAGAGACCGGAGAGAGAGACCAGAGAGAGACCAGAGAGAGACCAGAGAGAGAGACCAGAGAGAGAGAGACCAGAGAGAGAGACCAGAGAGAGACCAGAGAGAGAGACCAGAGAGAGAGAGACCAGAGAGAGAGACCAGAGAGAGACCAGAGAGAGAGACCAGAGAGAGAGAGACCAGAGAGAGAGACCAGAGAGAGACCAGAGAGAGACTAGAGACCAGAGAGAGACCAGAGAGAGACCAGAGAGAGACCAGAGAAAGAAACCAGAGAGAGAGAGACCAGAGAGAGACCAGAGAGAGAGACCCAAGAGAGACCAGAGAGAGACCAGAGAGAGACCATAGAGAGAGACCAGAGAGAGACCAGAGAGAGACCAGAGAGAGACCAGACAGCTTAGCCCTGGTTCTAACCGGGCCAAGTAGATACCAGAACAATCTGAGGTCGCCGAACGTCAATTCTGATTGGTCAGAGGCGCTGTCAATCACTCTTCAGCTGCTGCATCAGCTGTTTGCGAAAAACATAACAAACAACAAGTTTCCTCAAGTTTCCAGCTGAAAACTATGAAGACGTCCGCACAGAAAACAATTCCTCGGTCGCTGGATCAACACCTTCCTCTGAGAAGACACCATGAGCTCCATGGTTCCACCAGGAACCAGTGCTTTCAGCTCGAACCAGAACCGTTTTACAAGTTTCAACCCAGTATTCATCAGATAACACAACAAACCCTCTGAGTTCGCTCTGAACCAGAACCAGCACCAGGACCAGGACCAGGACCAGAACCAGCACCAGGACCAGGACCAGAACCAGGACCAGCACCAGGACCAGAACCAGGACCAGGACCAGCACCAGGACCAGAACCAGAACCAGGACCAGCACCAGGACCAGGACCAGCACCAGGACCAGCACCAGGACCAGCACCAGGACCAGGACCAGCACCTTGACAAATGTAATTGTAACTTCAAGAAACGAAAAGTTTCACGTTTCAATTTCACATGAAAATGAAAGGAGTTAGAGCTAGAACTACTCACAAACAGAAAAAATATATGAAACATAATGAAATACAAATAAAGTACATGTAGAAACAGTCAGAGTGACTGCTCTGGGAGCACAGAGTGACTCTGGGAGCACAGAGTGACCGCTCTGGGAGCACAGAGTGACCGCTCTGGGAGCACAGAGTGACCGCTCTGGGAGCACAGAGTGACTGCTCTGGGAGCACAGAGTGACTCTGGGAGCACAGAGTGACTGCTCTGGGAGCACAGAGTGACCGCTCTGGGAACACAGAGTGACCGCTCTGGGAGCACAGAGTGACCGCTCTGGGAGCACAGAGTGACCGCTCTGGGAGCACAGAGTGACCGCTCTGGGAGCACAGAGTGACTGCTCTGGGAGCACAGAGTGACCGCTCTGGGAGCACAGAGTGACCGCTCTGGGAGCACAGAGTGACCGCTCTGGGAGCACAGAGTGACCGCTCTGGGAGCACAGAGTGACTCTGGGAGCACAGAGTGACTGCTCTGGGAGCACAGAGTGACCGCTCTGGGAGCACAGAGTGACTCTGGGAGCACAGGGGTAGATCCTTCTACAACAAAGTGAAGAGAATGATCTGAAAAGCAGAAGTTTTTCTCCTTCATCAAACCTGGAAAAAACACCACGACACAGGTCTCTGCGGCCGGAGGAGAACGCCTTAGACTGCTGCACTTTCCTGTCGCCCCCTCCCTCAGTGAGTCCGTCTCTCTGACAGCCCCCCCCTCAGTGAGTCTGTCTCTCTGACAGCCCCCCCCTCAGTGAGTCCGTCTCTCTGTCCCCCCTCCCTCAGTGAGTCCGTCTCTCTGTCCCCCCTCCCTCAGTGAGTCCGTCTCTCTGACACCCCCCCTCCTTTCAGTTACACAGAGGACTATGGCCCATTCTCCAACAATTAACAGGAAATTGTCATATTTATATAATGCTATTTTACCTTAATGCTAAAGGTAGGTAGGGGTAGGTAGGTATGGGTCGTTAGGTAAGTAGGGGTAGGTATGGGTCGTTAGGTAAGTAGGGTAGGTAGGTATGGGTCGTTAGGTAAGTAGGGGTAGGTAGGTATGGGTCGTTAGGTAAGTAGGGGTAGGTATGGGTCGTTAGGTAAGTAGGGTAGGTAGGTATGGGTCGTTAGGTAAGTAGGGGTAGGTAGGTATGGGTCGTTAGGTAAGTAGGGGTAGGTATGGGTCGTTAGGTAAGTAGGGGTAGGTATGGGTCGTTAGGTAAGTAGGGGTAGGTGGTATGGGTCGTTAGGTAAGTAGGGGTAGGTAGGTATGGGTCGTTAGGTAAGTAGGGGTAGGTATGGGTCGTTAGGTAAGTAGGGTAGGTAGGTATGGGTCGTTAGGTAAGTAGGGGTAGGTATGGGTCGTTAGGTAAGTAGGGTAGGTAGGTATGGGTCGTTAGGTAAGTAGGGGTAGGTATGGGTCGTTAGGTAAGTAGGGGTAGGTATGGGTCGTTAGGTAAGTAGGGTAGGTAGGTATGGGTCGTTAGGTAAGTAGGGGTAGGTAGGTATGGGTCGTTAGGTAAGTAGGGGTAGGTAGGTATGGGTCGTTAGGTAAGTAGGGGTAGGTAGGTATGGGTCGTTAGGTAAGTAAGGGTAGGTATGGGTCGTTAGGTAAGTAAGGGTAGGTATGGGTCGTTAGGTAAGTAGGGTAGGTAGGTATGGGTCGTTAGGTAAGTAGGGGTAGGTAGGTATGGGTCGTTAGGTAAGTAAGGGTAGGTATGGGTCGTTAGGTAAGTAGGGTAGGTAGGTATGGGTCGTTAGGTAAGTAGGGGTAGGTAGGAATGGGTCGTTAGGTAAGTAGGTATGGGTCGTTAGGTAAGTAGGGTAGGTAGGTATGGGTCGTTAGGTAAGTAAGGGTAGGTATGGGTCGTTAGGTAAGTAGGGGTAGGTAGGAATGGGTCGTTAGGTAAGTAGGTATGGGTCGTTAGGTAAGTAAGGGTAGGTATGGGTCGTTAGGTAAGTAGGGTAGGTAGGTATGGGTTGTTAGGTAAGTAGGGGTAGGTAGGTATGGGTCGTTAGGTAAGTAGGTAAGGGTCGTTAGGTAAGTAAGGGTAGGTATGGGTCGTTAGGTAAGTAGGGTAGGTAGGTATGGGTTGTTAGGTAAGTAGGGGTAGGTAGGTATGGGTCGTTAGGTAAGTAGGGGTAGGTAGGTATGGGTCGTTAGGTAAGTAGGGGTAGGTAAGTATGGGTCGTTAGGTAAGTAGGGGTAGGTAGGTATGGGTCGTTAGGTAAGTAGGGGTAGGTAGGTATGGGTCGTTAGGTAAGTAGGGGTAGGTAAGTATGGGTCGTTAGGTAAGTAGAGGTAGGTAGGTATGGGTCGTTAGGTAAGTATGGGTAGGTAGGTATGGCTCGTTAGGTAAGTAGGGGTAGGTAGGAATGGGTCGTTAGGTAAGTAGGTATGGGTCGTTAGGTAAGTAGGGGTAGGTAGATATGGGTCGTTAGGTAAGTAGGGGTAGGTAGGAATGGGTCGTTAGGTAAGTAGGTATGGGTCGTTAGGTAAGTAGGGGTAGGTAGGTATGGGTCGTTAGGAAAGTAGGGGTAGGTAGGTATGGGTCGATAGGTAAGTAGGGGTAGGTAAGTATGGGTCGTTAGGTAAGTAGGGGTAGGTAGGTATGGGTCGTTAGGTAAGTAGGGGTAGGTAAGTATGGATCGTTAGGTAAGTAGGGGTAGGTAGGTACGGGTCGTTAGGTAAGTAGGGGTAGGTAAGTATGGGTCGTTAGGTAAGTAGGGGTAGGTAGGTATGGGTCGTTAGGTAAGTAGGGGTAGGTAAGTATGGGTCGTTAGGTAAGTAGGGTAGGTAGGAATGGGTCGTTAGGCAAGTAGGGGTAGGTAGGTATGGGTTGTTAGGCAAGTAGGGGTAGGTAGGTATGGGTTGTTAGGCAAGTAGGAATAGGTAGGTATGGGTTGTTAGGTAAGTAGGGGTAGGTAGGTATGGGTCGTTAGGTAAGTAAAGGTAGGTAGGTATGGGTCGTTAGGTAAGTAGGGGTAGGTAGGTATGGGGCGTTAGGCAAGTAGGGGTAGGTAAGTATGGGTTGTTAGGTAAGTAAGGGTAGGTATGGGTCGTTAGGTAAGTAGGGGTAGGTAGGAATGGGTCGTTAGGTAAGTAGGTATGGGTCGTTAGGTAAGTAGGGGTAGGTAGGTATTGGTCGTTAGGTAAGTAGGGGTAGGTAGGTATGGGTCGTTAAGTAAGTAGGGGTAGGTAAGTATGGGTCGTTAGGTAAGTAGGGGTAGGTAGGTATGGGTCGTTAGGTAAGTAGGGGTAGGTAGGTATGGGTCGTTAGGTAAGTAGGGGTAGGTAGGTATGGGGTCGTTAGGTAAGTAGGGGTAGGTAGGTATGGGTCGTTAGGTAAGTAGGGGTAGGTAGGTATGGGTCGTTAGGTAAGTAGGGGTAGGTAGGAATGGGTCGTTAGGTAAGTAGGGGTAGGTAGGTATGGGTCGTTAGGTAAGTAGGGGTAGGTAGGAATGGGTCGTTAGGTAAGTAGGTATGGGTCGTTAGGTAAGTAGGGGTAGGTAGGTATTGGTCGTTAGGTAAGTAGGGGTAGGTAGGTAGGTAGGTATGGGTCGTTAAGTAAGTAGGGGTAGGTAGGTATGGGTCGTTAGGTAAGTAGGGGTAGGTAGGAATGGGTCGTTAGGTAAGTAGGGGTAGGTAGGTATGGGTCGTTAGGTAAGTAGGGGTAGGTAGGTATGGGTCGTTAGGTAAGTAGGGGTAGGTAAGTATGGGTCGTTAGGTAAGTAGGGGTAGGTAGGTATGGGTCGTTAGGTAAGTAGGGGTAGGTAGGTATGGGTCGTTAGGTAAGTAGGGGTAGGTAAGTATGGGTCGTTAGGTAAGTAGGGGTAGGTAAGTATGGGTCGTTAGGTAAGTAGGGGTAAGTATGGGTCGTTAGGTAAGTAGGGTAGGTAGGTATGGGTCGTTAGGCAAGTAAAGGTAGGTAGGAATGGGTCGTTAGGTAAGTAGGGGTAGGTAGGTATGGGTCGTTAGGCAAGTAGGGGTAGGTAGGTATGGGTTGTTAGGCAAGTAGGGGTAGGTAGGTATGGGTTGTTTGGTAAGTACGGGTAGGTAGGTATGGGTCGTTAGGTAGGTAGGGGTAGGTAGGCATGACTCGTTAGGTAAGTAGGGTAGGTAGGTATGGGCCATTAGGCAAGTAGGGGTAGATAGGTATGGGTCGTTAGGCATGTAGGGGTAGGTAGGTATGGGTCATTAAGTAAGTAGGGGTAGGTAAGTATGGGTCGTTAGGTAAGTAGGGGTAGGTAGGTATGGGTCGTTAGGTAAGTAGGGGTAGGTAGGTATGGGTCGTTAGGTAAGTAGGGGTAGGTAAGTATGGGTCGTTAGGTAAGTAGGGGTAGGTAAGTATGGGTCGTTAGGTAAGTAGGGGTAAGTATGGGTCGTTAGGTAAGTAGGGTAGGTAGGTATGGGTCGTTAGGCAAGTAAAGGTAGGTAGGAATGGGTCGTTAGGTAAGTAGGGGTAGGTAGGTATGGGTCGTTAGGCAAGTAGGGGTAGGTAGGTATGGGTTGTTTGGTAAGTACGGGTAGGTAGGTATGGGTCGTTAGGTAGGTAGGGGTAGGTAGGCATGACTCGTTAGGTAAGTAGGGTAGGTAGGTATGGGCCATTAGGCAAGTAGGGGTTGGTAGGTATGGGTCGTTAGGTAAGTAGGGGTAGGTAGGTATGGCTCGTTAGGTAAGTAGGGGTAGGTAGGTAGATTGGTAGGTTGGTATGTAGGTAGGTAGATAGGTAAGTAAGTCATTAAGTAAGTAAGAAAGTATGTATTAAGTAAGTAGGTATGAGAGCGGAGAAAGCTGTAGGACCTCTCCACATACATGAGATAAGATAAGATCTATCTTTTAACATCCATCCAAAGTGAGGAGAGTAGGTCTTACCGGTGCGGAGAGGTGCGGTTGAAGCAGGTCTTGGTCACGTCGGTCAGTGCAGGATCGCAGCAATCCCCGAGGTCAAAGTTGAAATTCTCCCAGTTGCACTCGGGCTCGCAGATGCCGTTCCCCTGCTTGTGCTCCGGACACCTGCCTCTGTGCCCCAGGGTACAGTCCCCGGCGTCGTACCCGGTCAGAGGATGGTTACATTCAGGGTCGCACACGTCATTCCCGACTTTGCTGATGTCGCAGTTGGCGAGAATCAAGCGGTGGCGAAGGGACGAGTTGGTGACGTTGTGGATGCTGAGCTCCCAGGTGATGTTGTAGGGACTGAAGGCGTCGTTGAGCTGCTGATGCTGGAGGCTAATCTGATGGTCCGTGACTGTGGGCCGCTTTTGTAGATTGTCCCAGATGTTAACCACTCTGTACCGCACCTTTTTGGGACGCCTGAAAGTCCAAAGCTGGTTGAAGTTCTTAATAACCTGAAGATTATCGCACACAGTCTGCCCGCAAGGAGGAGGTTCCAGTGTTGTGTCTAGCAAGCCTTCAATGTTGGTCATGCTAGTCCCTAAAACGCCGCCGACGACCTTCCCCACGCTCCCACGTTCCGGCTGCGGAAAGGTCCCGTCTTTCACCGTGAGCCACTTGCGTTCCGGGTGCTCGAAGGTTTCACGGATGACGAGGTGAGGTAGATCCAAAGGGTGTTCGTGGCCCTGCATGTCTTTGATGATCTGCCTCTGGGCTCGGGCGTACCTCCACAGACCCAGCCTCTCCACGGCTCCTCTGTAGTTGTGGTTCAGGGCGTTGCCTCCGATCATCAAGACCTTGCACTTTTTGGTGAGGTGGCTGAAGACGTCTCCGGACTGCTCGCGGCTGACCCCCACCTGGGCGGCGTTCACGTAGAGCTTCATGTAGACGCCGTCGTAGGTGATGGCCACGTGGACCCATTGGTTTGGGGTGTAGCGGGTGTTGGCGTGGACGGAGGTGACTTTGTGCGCTCGGTCGGTCTTGAGGGAGAAGAAGAAGCGAGGGTCTCTGTTTCCGTACTCGCTGACCGCCTGAATGCCCAGCAGCCACCCTCTGTCACTGGAGGCGTAGAAGCATTTGTCGTAGAGACCTGGAAACAAACACAAAGGAGAATGATGAGTGAATAACACGTGTGTAGCAAAGTCAACACGTTTGGCCAATAGGTGGTGTATGGTTAATGCTAAAGCTAGTGGCTTTATACTTGCTTCTTTATTATGCTAAAGCTAGAGATTATATACTAGCTTCTTTATTATGCTAAAGCTAGAGATTTTATGCTAGCTTCTTTATTATGCTAAAGCTATAGATTTAATACTAGCTTCTTTATTATGCTAAAGCTAGAGACTTTATGCTAGCTTCTTTATTATGCTAAAGCTAGAGATTTTATACTAGCTTCTTTATTATGCTAAAGCTAGAGATTCATACTAGCTTCTTTTTTATGCTAAAGCTAGAGACTTTATACTAGCTTCTTTTTTATGCTAAAGCTATACATTTTATACTTGCTTCTTTATAAGGCTAAAGCTAGTGATTCTAAACTAGCTTCTACGGTATATTATGCTGAAGCTAGCGGTTGTATTGTATTTTTAGAGTTATTGTTCATTTATCTTTAGCTGTGTGCTCCTCATCCCTTCTGTCCTGTAACCGCTGATGCAACACTGGCATTTCCCTCCGTCTTAAACCCGCTGGCGTGTTATGACAGGGTTGTTTACCGAGGCTACGGCGATAGCATGAGCTTGATAACGTTATAAAGTGATCTTTCATTGCGCCCTCGGTAGAATTGGGTTGAAGTGCATGTTTGCCCACGGACGGAGACCCCATGGAAATCTCTCAGCGTCGCCTTCGGCCTCGAACACAGAGACCATTTAAAGTTGTCAATGTAAACATTCATCGGCAGAAAGGGAGCCAGAAACAGCTAGTTTTTCTGCAAAGAGAAATGGTGTTTTTGTAGAGGCACCAGAAGACCTTTTTCCTGTTGCACTTGGACCGTGTGTGTCAGGTCGTGGTCATGCCGTTTCACTTCATGGGGATTTGTGGATGCTAACTGTTTGTTTGCTTTGCCCTTGTCAGAAGTACGTGTGCAGGAGCCGCGCTTTATACACAGATGTTTGGACACGGGAAAAAGTCAGTCCAAAAAGTGACTCAAAAACAAAGTGATTAGAAAAAAGCTACTGGATAAAAAAGAGGACCAAAAAACTGACTCAAGAAAAAAATTACTCAAAAAGTGAAAAAAGTGACTTGAAATTTGTACTAAAAAAGTTACAAAAAAAGTAGCTCAAAAACAAAAAAAATAAAACACAAATAAGTGATTTGAAAAAACTGACTCACAAAAGTGGAAAAAGTGAGTGACAAAATTGACTAAAAAGTGATTTAAAAATATTGCTAAAAATGACTCAAAAACAAAATTACTCAAAAAAGTGACTGGAAAAAAGTTACTACAAAAGTAGCTAAAAAAGAAACAAAATAACAAAAAAAAACACAATAAAGTGACTCAAAAAAGTGACTGGAAAACAAAGGGACCCAAAAAACACAATTTCTCAAAAAGTGACAAAAAAGTGACTTAAAAATGTTACTTAACAAAGTGACTCAAAAACAAAGTGACTCAAAAAAAGGGACTAAATAATGACACAAAAAAGTGACAAAAAGTGAGTGACAAAATTGACTAAAAAGTGATTTAAAAATGTTGCTAAAAAGTGACTCAAAAACAAAATGACTGAAAAAAGTGACTTGGAAAAAGTGACTGGAAAAAGTTACAAAAGTAGCTCAAAAACAAACAAAATAACAAAAAAACACAAAAAAGTGACTCTAAAAAGTGACTGGAAAACAAAGGGACCCAAAATACATAATTACTCAAAAAGTGACAAAAAAGTGACTTAAAAATGTTACTTAACAAAGTGACTCAAAAAAGTGACCAAATAATGACACAAAAAAGTGACTAAAAAAGTGACTAAAAAGTGACAAAAAAGTGACTCAATAAAATGAGTCTAAAAAGTGCTGCTGTTGGACCAGAGGACTGTGGGTGAACCTTTATGGTGTTTGTATCTCAGGACTTTACACAGATCTCTCCTCTGTCTCCACCAGGACAGATTCACCAACCTGACCAGACCTCTGTAGCTCAGCAGGGCAGGGCCTGGTTAGAGCTGTGATGGGAGACCTCTGGGAACAGCAGGTGCCACAGTGGGGCGGCTGTAAAGTGCTAAACTGTGGTTGTGTCCTTGGGCAAGACACTTCCCCCACATTAGAATGAGTCTGGTGTGTGTGTGAATGGTTGGTGGTGGTGGGAGGGGCTGATGGCACAGACTGGTTGCCTCGCTTCTGTCAGTGTGCCCCAGGGCAGCTGTGGCTACAGTAGTTTATCACCACTGTGTTTGGAGAGAAATAATAATGATGTGAAGAAACTTTGAGAGTTCTGGAAGGTGCTGTTTAAAACCAATGCATTATTATTATTAGTATTATTATTATTTGAACGTTGTTGGACCATTTCAATGATTGGATCCACTCAAGAAGCAGACGGCTTCTGTGATGAAAAGTGATGAAAACATGTCAAAAGTTGCTCAAATTTGGCAAAAATCTTTTACTTTGAGAAAATTCTTATGCTTCCTTAAAACCGGATTCTCCAATGAGACAAAACAAAATGATCTTGTTTTAGGAAGACACAGAAATGTCTTCTTTGGAATGAGAAACCAAAGCAACTGTTCTGGAAATAAAACTAAATATCTTTCTCCCATTTGCAAAAAACACTCAATTTAAGCCATTTTGACCTCATATTTTATCATATTGTGTTGTGTTTCTCTTCCCACAGTGTGAGAAGTACCCGTCAAACCCCTGACTCTGCAACAAGTGCCTGCCTGGGAACAACATGGACGCCCAAACCAGTCGGACCTGCTCCTACCGAGATGCACCGCGGCTCCAGCATTAACCAACGTGGTATTTGAGAGGCCTGCGTTCAAAGAGCCAAGTCTGGGTTCAACATCAAGGTCAGTCCTTTTCGGCGAATGACATTTTCAGGCTTTTCCACTACACAGAGAGGAAAAAGGCTCTCCATCTGTTGGCCGGTGCACTCAAGGCTAAAAGGTGCTAAAATGCTGGGGCAGCTCCCAGTGTAAACAGCTGTCATAATTCTGCCATGCTCAATTAATCTAACACACTCTGCTCTCCCGGACTGAGCCGCGGCCGCTGGAGCTCACACTCTCTCGCCTTCACACGGCTGTACATTAATATTTACAAGACATTTCCCAGCGATTGCCACTCACGAGAGAGAGAGAGAGAGAGAGAGAGAGAGAGAGAGAGAGAGAAAGAGAGCACGTTCTGCCGTGATTGGTCGCAGCTCCGAGGGGAATCCTCCGTCGCTGCAGCCGTTTGTCTTGTGAGAAAATACAACATGAAAGTCTGAATGGAGCGTGCGACAAGAGGGTCATAAAACACGGGAACTGTCATAGTGTTTGCTCCAGAGTCAAAGTCGAAGTCAAAGAGACGGAAAAACACACGGCTTTGCTTTTGTGTTTCTGTTTGCTTTGAATTCAGGCTTTAACACTTTTATGTATGCAAGTTATACAGAGGTCCTCGTTCTACAGCCTGAGTCCTGGGTCTACAGCCTGAGTCCTGGGCCTACAGCCTGAGTCCTGGGTCTACAGCCTGAGTCCTGGGTCTGCAGCCTGAGTCCTGGGTCTACAGCCTGAGTCCTGGGTCTACAGCCTGAGTCCTGGGTCTACAGCCTGAGTCCTGGGTCTACAGCCTCAGTCCTGGGTCTACAGCCTGAGTCCTGGGTCTACTGCCTGAGTACTGGGTCTACAGCCTCAGTCCTGGGTCTACAGCCTGAGTCCTGGGTCTACAGCCTCAGTCCTGGGTCTACAGCCCCAGTCCTGAGTCTACAGCCTCAGTCCTGGGTCTATACAGCCTCAGTCCTGGGTCTATACAGCCTCAGTCCTGGGTCTACAGCCTCAGTCCTGGGTCTACAGCCTCAGTCCTGGGTCTACAGCCTCAGTCCTGGGTCTACAGCCTCAGTCCTGGGTCTACAGCCTCAGTCCTGGGTCTACAGCCTGAGTCCTGGGTCTACAGCCTCAGTCCTGGGTCTACAGCCTCAGTCCTGGGTCTACAGCCTCAGTCCTGGATCTACAGCCTCAGTCCTGGGTCTACAGCCTGAGTCCTGGGTCTACAGCCTCAGTCCTGGGTCTACAGCCTGAGTCCTGGGTCTACAGCCTCAGTCCTGGGTCTACAGCCTCAGTCCTGGGTCTACAGCCTGAGTCCTGGGTCTACAGCCTCAGTCCTGGGTCTACAGCCTCAGTCCTGGGTCTACAGCCTGAGTACTGGGTCTACAGCCTCAGTCCTGGGTCTACAGCCCCAGTCCTGGGTCTACAGCCTGAGTCCTGGGTCTACAGCCTCAGTCCTGGGTCTACAGCTTCAGTCCTGGGTCTACAGCCTCAGTCCTGGGTCTACAGCCTCAGTCCTGGGTCTACAGCCTCAGTCCTGGGTCTACAGCCTCAGTCCTGGGTCTACAGCCTGAGTCCTGGGTCTACAGCCTCAGTCCTGGGTCTACAGCCTCAGTCCTGGGTCTACAGCCTCAGTCCTGGGTCTACAGCCTCAGTCCTGGGTCTACAGCCTCAGTCCTGGGTCTACAGCCTCAGTCCTGGGTCTACAGTCTCAGTCCTGGGTCTACAGCCTCAGTCCTGGGTCTACAGCCTCAGTCCTGGGTCTACAGCCTGAGTCCTGGGTCTACAGCCTGAGTCCTGGGTCTACAGCCTCAGTCCTGGGTCTACAGCCTCAAACAGGACAAAACAAAATGATATTGTTTTAAAAGATACAGAATTGTCTCCTTCACCATGATCTCCAGTGGATCAGGATATTTCCACTTGTTTAGATTTCAGAAAACTAAAAAAACATATGAATAACAAATGAAATAATAAAGTATCTTCAGCTGCTTCAGTAAAAAAGTCAAATAAAACTGATATTTTCACTTTTTGTACACTGTAAAAAAGAAAAAGTTAGTTCAACTCAAAATTTCAAAGCAACCAGCTGCGAAGGATTTTTGAGTTGAAGGCATTAACTTCATTCTTCAAGTTTTGAAGAACAACACTATTAAGTTGTGTCAGTTAAGTTACTGGAAATTTCAAGTCTGTAAAAACTTACTTTTTGAAGTTCATACTGTCCCCTACAATAACTTACTATTGTGAGTTTAAATTAGCCCCCACATTAAAAGATCATGCATATTTATATAGCGCATTTCATGGACCAAGGTCACTTGGGTAGGGGAAACCGGAGCACCCGGAGGAAACCTATGCAGACACAGAGAACATGCAAATTCCACACAGAAAGGCCCTGTTCCGACCGGGATTCGAACCCAGAACCTTCGTGTCAAGAAGCGAGAGTGCTATCCACTCAGCCACCGTGCCGCACACACTGTGAACCAGAGGGGAAACTTAATGTTTCTAAGACTGACCCAGAGAATATAAAGGGCTACTTTGGCTTGGCCCTGTCGATTACGGTTGGTAAAAATAAATACAGTGATTTTTTTGGTCAAATTAGTTTGTTCAAAATGTTGAATGCAGCTGGTTGCCATGACAAATATTTAAATGAGCAAACGCAGATAAGTTGACCTCACTATAGCTCGGTGAACTGTAAAAACGACAACTCAAAATTGTTCACCTTACTCAGATTTTTGCATTCACTGACAATAAAATTTCCAGTTGGAACTGGAACTATCTGTTGTGAGCCACTTGAACTTTCAGAAGTTCACTACAACTTCAAAGTCAAATCAACTTAATATATCAAATAAGATGAACTTTTCATCAGAAACTTCAGAAAGTGAGTTCAAGTGGCTCACAACAGACAGTTCTGACAGGGGGGGGCGGGCCAGTCCCAGCCCCAGCCCCTCACTGATCCTCTGCAGGTGGTGAGTCCACAGGGGCTGAGATCTTTCAGTGGGGGCTTCAGGCAAAGTGGGGTTAAGTGTCTTGCCCAAGGACACAACGACAGCAGTCATCAGTGATCAAAGGCTGATGCTCTGGACGTGTCAGATTTAGATAAAAACACTGGATTCTGGCAAATATTACAGGAATGTAGTAATAGCTTGATATTTTATAATTTTCTATTTCTTTGCAGTGTATGTGGGAGTCAGTGAGGGGGGGTGAGGGAGGTGAGGGGGAGACAGTGGGGGGAGACAGTGAGGGGAGTGAGGGGGAGACAGTGGGGGGTGAGGGGTGAGGGGGAGACAGTGGGGGGTGAGGGGGAGACAGTGGGGGGTGAGGGGGAGACAGTGAGGGGTGTGGGGGGGAGACAGTGGGGGGTGAGGGGGAGACAGTGGGGGGTGAGGGGTGAGGGGGAGACAGTGGGGGGTGAGGGGGAGACAGTGAGGGGTGTGGGGGAGACAGTGAGGGGTGAGGGGGAGACAGTGAGGGGTGTGAGGGGTGAGGGGGAGACAGTGAGGGGTGAGGGGGAGACAGTGGGGGGGGGGGGGGGAGACAGTGAGGGGGGTGAGGGGGAGACAGTGAGGGGTGTGGGGGAGACAGTGAGGGGTGAGGGGGAGACAGTGAGGGGTGAGGGGTGAGGGGGAGACAGTGAGGGGTGAGGGGTGAGGGGGAGACAGTGGGGGGGGGGGAAGTGGGGGGGGGGGGGGAGACAGTGGGGGGGTGGGGGAGACATTAGGGGGTGAGGGGGAGACAGTGAGGGGTGAGGGGGAGACATTGGGGGGTGAGGGGTGAGGGGGAGACAGTGGGGGGTGAGGGGGAGACAGTGGGGGGGGGGGTGGAGCAGGAGCAAAACAAACATATTTGTCGTTGGGATTTCTGATTGGATTTAAAGATTAAGGCTCTGAGTTTATTTGTTTTTAAATCTGCTTTTTTAGCTCAGGGCTGTTGTGATGTATAGTTACTATGATATATATACACATATACATTCTATATATGTATAAATATATATATAAATATATATATATATTTATATTTATATATATTTATATATATGTTATATATGTGTGTATATATAGTTTCTACGATACACATGGAGAGTTGTTTTTGCATAAACAGTTTTCTCTTCAATAATCCATGTTTTTTAATTGGCAGAAAATTGCTTATTTGTATAGCACTTAAATACTCAAATACTTAAATACTCAAATACTTAAATACTCAAATACTTAAATACTCAAATACTTAAATACTCAAATACTTAAATACACCTGGCTTTGTAAAGAACTACTTTGGTAAAGGGCACATTGTAAGTCTGTCACATATGTTTTTCTAATGACACTTCTCTGAGTAATGTATCTAAAGCTAATGTCTGTGGTTAGTCTGTTCTAAATCATTAAATGTATGAACGTGATGGAGTTGGAGAAAGACTAAAGTCTGTGGGTTCAGCTCAGTTCATTAAAGTGCAGCGGCTGCAGAGCGTCGTGTTCACTGCTTCACTTTGACACACAGTTAATAATGCTGTAGTCTCCCAGGGCCCACGTCACCGCTCTCAGACTCCGGACATGAGCACTTCTCCTGTCACTCTCTGAAGGATGTGCTTCTCTGAGCGTTTGGACTGTTGTCAGTGTGAAGAATACAGAGAAATATACAGGAGACACAGGAGAGTGCTCTCTCTCTCTGTCTCTCACCTTGTCTCTCACTCTCTCTCCCCTCTCTCTCTCTCTCTCTCTCACCTCTCCCTCTCTCTCTCACCCTGTCACTCTCTCACCCTGTCTCTCTCTCACCCTGTCTCTCTCTCACCCTGTATCTTTCTCACCCTGTGTCTCTCACCCTTTCTCTCTCTCTCACCCTGTCACAATATCTCTCACTCTCTCACCCTGTCACTCTCTCTCACCCTGTCACTCTCTCTCTCACCCTGTCACTCTCTCACCCTGTCTCTCTCTCACCCTGTATCTTTCTCACCCTGTGTCTCTCACCCTTTCTCTCTCTCTCACCCTGTCACAATCTCTCTCACTCTCTCACCCTGCCACTCTCTCACCATTTCTCTCTCTCTCACTCTCTCACCCTGTCTCTCCCTCTCACCCTGTCTCCCTCTTACCATCTCACTCTCTCACCCTTTCTCTCTCTCTTTCACTCTCTCACCCTGTCACTCTCTCTCACAATTTATCTCTCTCTCTCACTCTCTCACCCTGTCTCCCTCTTACCCTGTCACTCTCTCTCACCCTGTCACTCTCTCTCTTACCCTGTCTCTCTCTCTCTCACCCTGACCCTCTTTTACCCCCTCTCTCTCTCACCCTGACCCTCTCTCACCCTGTCACTCTCTCTCACCCTGTCTCTCTTTTACCCCCTCTCTCTCTCTCACCCTGACCCTCTTTTACCCCCTCACTCTCTCTCACCCTGACCCTCTCTTACCCTGTCTCTCTCTCTCACCCTGTCTCTCTTTTACCCCCTCACTCTCTCTCACCCTGTCTCACCCTTTCTCTCCCTCTCACCCTGTCTCTCTCTCTCACCCTGGCTCTCTCTCTCTCACCCTGTCTCTCTCTCTCTCACACCCACTCTCACCCTGTCTCTCTCTCTCTCTCTCACCCTGTCTCTCTTTTACCCCCTCACTCTCTCTCACCCTGTCACTCTCTCTCACCCTGTCTCTCTTTTACCCTGTCTCTCTCTAACCCTGTCACTCTCTCACAATGTCTCTCTCTCTCACCCTGTCTCACCCTTTCTCTCCCTCTCACCCTGTCTCTCTCTCTCACCCTGGCTCTCTCTCTCTCACCCTGTCTCTCTCTCTCTCACCCCCTCTCTCACCCTGTCTCTCTCTCTCTCTCTCAACCTGTCACGCTCTCTCACCCTGTCTCTCTCTCTCTCTCAACCTGTCACGCTCTCTCACCCTGTCTCTCTCTCTCTCTCAACCTGTCACTCTCTCTCACCCTGTCTCTCTCTCTCACACCCTGTCTCTCTCACCCTGACTTTCTCTCACCCTGTCTCTCTCTCTCTCTCTCACCTTGTCTCTCTCTCTCACCCTCTCTCACCCTGGCTCTCTCTCTCACCCTGTCTCTCTCTCTCTCTCTCTCACCCTCTCTCACCCTGGCTCTCTCTCTCACCCTGTCTCTCTCTCTCTCCCTGTCTCTCTCTCTCTCTCTCTCACCCTGTCTCTCTCTCTCTCTCCCTGTTACAGTTTCTACCTGAACAGCAGTGAACCCTACATTAAAGGTTTCTCCCCTGCTCCTTCTCTCTCTTCACATTAGATTCTCTCACATGTTTTATCCAGAGAAACCTCCTCGGATCAAACACGGATCTGCGACTGACGTCTCCCTCCCTCCCTCCCTCTCTCCCTCCCTCCCTCCTCTCTCTCTCCCCCTCCCCTCTCTCTCTCTCCCTCCCTCTCTCCCTCCCTCCCTCCCTCTCTCCCTCCCTCCCTCCCTCTCTCTATCTCCCTCCCCTCTCTCTCTCTCCCTCCCTCTCTCTCTCTCTCCCTCCCCTCTCTCACTCCCACTCCCTCTCTCTCTCGTCTCTCTCTCCCCCCTCCCTCTCTCTCCCCCCCCTCTCTCTCTCCCTCCCCTCTCTCTCCCTCTCTCTCTCTCCCTCTCCCCTCTCTAACTCTACCTCTCCCTCTCACTCTCTCTCTCTCTCTCAAAGTTTCAACCATTACGTCATAGTTCTAAAATAGCTCAATAACCCGCGTCTCAGAAATGACATTTTACGCACAGTGACATCAGCTGCAGCCCCCAGACCGCCCCCCCCCCCCTCCCTCCCTCCCTCCCTCCCTCACAGACCCCCCAACCTCACTCCTCCTCACCCCCCCCCACCCCACCCCACAGACCCCCCACACTGCTCTCTCTACAACACCACTTTTTACAACAACAAAAAATACTGTATATGAGAGAGCCACAGTCTGTAGATACGGAGCACGCACTACGTAAAGCATTACATCATTGTCTGGTCTCACGGAGGAAACTGTAGCCTCCTCATACTACTCCAATACAACTCAAATACTATTCAAATACTACTCAAATACTATTCAAATACTATTCATTTACTAGTGTTACTATTGTTTCTACTGTCGCTAATGTGCGCACGTGAATAATAAACATGTAAAAGGGTCAAAACACAAAACAAGTTGCACCGAGGCTACCTGCTATGACCGCGGGGGATCTCTGACCTCCCTCGGGCTTGATCCAAAGCTCCAGAGTGAAATTTCCTCTGGGTATCTCCACTCCCGGCTTGAGGCGCAGTTGGTCCCCTCTCCCGGTGAAGTAGACCGCGTTGCTGCCGCGCTCCAGAGAGTTGGACACGGCCTGAGAGGTGCGTCGCTGCTGCCGCCCGAGCCTCCTCTCCACCGCGGGAGGCACCGACCGCTTGCCCCGGGGCAGGCGAGTGGCACAGGCGCCCGGGACCGTGGCTCTGGACTCCCTGACGCGGACCAGCTCCCGCTTGGATCTCCCTTTGAAGCGCAGAGATCCACATTCAGAACCGAAGCAGAGGAGGAGAGTGAGCAGGCAAGACACCCAGGTACAAGTCCACAGTTTCATTTTGCAAAAGATGTGCTATTTAGAAAAATAAAATAAAAAAAACAAGATACAGAGAGGCGTAAAAAAAAAAAAGACAATCTTCTTTTTGGGGGAATCCTGTGAAGCTGCGCTGTTTCCTCTGGAGCAAAACTACTCTAGAAACATTGAGGATGTGTTATTAATGCATGGTCTTCTCCTCGGTCCGTCTCTGTGGGTCCCATTGGGCTCTGAGGGATGACTAATAAGTGATCAATCAAGAGGGGGGTCCAGCCCGTGCCCCCTCATCTCCTCTGGAAGCTCCGCACGCAGAGAGCCACAGTTGTGCGCCAGGTCCGTGTCACACCTTTCTGTTGTGATTCTCTGTTTCTCCCGTGCGTAAAGGCGACTGTGACACACTGATCCATTCAAGAAAAAAAGAAAAAAAAAAGGAGGAAAGACTTAAACCTCAGATTTGTCACAGCCGGTTTTATTCCCCAGAGCCGCTGTGAGCCGCGGCAGGAGCCAGACAGAGAGCCACAACTGGAGCCTGAAGTTCGGGGTTTTAGCTACAAAAAAGTTGAAACGGTGAGAGAGAGAGAGAGAGAGAGAGAGAGAGAGAGAGAGAGAGAGAGAGAGAGAGAGAGAGAGAGAGAGAGAGAGAGAGAGAGAGAGAGAGAGAGAGAGAGAGAGAGAGAGAGAGAGAGAGAGGAGAGAGCGAGAGAGAGGAGAGAGCGAGAGAGAGAGTGAGAGAGAGGCGAGGGGAGGCAGAGCTGGCGTCGCGGTCCCGGAGCGCCCGGAGCGGTCAGTGGAGAGGTCCCCGTCCGCTTCACAGCCACTTCTTCTGCTTCTTTCTGTGAGTCTTTACAGAACAACTGGTGTTTTAAGTGTGTGAAGAGAGAGTATAAAAAGAGAGAGTGTAAAGAGAGAGAGTGTGTGTAGGAGAGAGAGGACGCACAGGTACAAACTGAGTCTCTCTCTCTGTGGCTGCGGTCTCTCTGAGTCTGAGCAGAGGATGGAGTCTCTCTGGTTAAAGGGGATGTATCCCTCTAGTGGCTACACTTCAAACACCCTCACGATACATCACACTGAGACACACACTGAGACACACAGAGACACACAGAGACACACCGAGACACACAGAGACACACTGAGACACACAGAGACACACTGAGACACACACTGAGACACACACACTGAGACACACACAGACACACACACTGAGACACACACACTGAGACACACAAAGACACACAGAGACACACTGAGACACACAGAGACACACAGAGACACACTGAGACACACAGAGACACACACACTGAGACACACAAAGACACACAGAGACACACACTGAGACACACTGAGACACACACTAAGACACACTGAGACACACACTGAGACACACACTGAGACACACACTGAGACACACTGAGACACACAGAGACACACTGAGACACACAGAGACACACTGAGACACACACTGAGACACACACTGAGACACAAAGAGACACACTGAGACACACAGAGACATACAGAGACACACTGAGACACACAGAGACACACTGAGACACACACTGAGACACACACTGAGACACACACACTGAGACACACAAAGACACACAGAGACACACTGAGACACACAGAGACACACAGAGACACACTGAGACACACAGAGACACACACACTGAGACACACAGAGACACACTGAGACACACACTGAGACACACTGAGACACACACTAAGACACACTGAGACACACACTGAGACACACACTGAGACACACACTGAGACACACTGAGACACACAGAGACACACTGAGACACACAGAGACACACTGAGACACACACTGAGACACACACTGAGACACAAAGAGACACACTGAGACACACAGAGACACACAGAGACACACTGAGACACACAGAGACACACTGAGACACACACTGAGACACACACTGAGACACACACTGAGACACACACTGAGACACACAGAGACACACAGAGACACACAGAGACACACACTGAGACACACAGAGACACACAGAGACACACTGAGACACACTGAGACACACTGAGACACACAGAGACACACTGAGACACACTGAGACACACACTGAGACACACACACTGAGACACACACAGAGACACACAGAGACACACAGAGACACACTGAGACACACACTGAGACACACAGAGACACACACTGAGACACACACTGAGACACACACACTGAGACACACAGAGACACACACTGAGACACACTGAGACACACACTGAGACACACACTGAGACACACTGAGACACACACTGAGACACACAGAGACACACACTGAGACACACTGAGACACACACTGAGACACACACACTGAGACACACAGAGACACACACTGAGACACACTGAGACACACACTGAGACACACTGAGACACACACTGAGACACACACTGAGACACACAGAGACACACACTGAGACACATTGAGACACACACTGAGACACACACACTGAGACACACAGAGACACACACTGAGACACACACTGAGACACTGAGACACACACTGAGACACACAGAGACACACGCTGAGACACACAGAGACACACACTGAGACACACTGAGACACACAGAGACACACACTGAGACACACACACACTGAGACACAGAGACACACTGAGACACACACTGAGACACACACACTGAGACACACAGAGACACACACTGAGACACGCAGAGACACACACTGAGACACACTGAGACACACACTGAGACACACACACTGAGACACACACTGAGACACACAGAGACACACACTGAGACACACAGAGACACACACTGAGACACACTGAGACACACACTGAGACACACACTGAGACACACAGAGACACACACTGAGACACACACACTGAGACACTGAGACACACTGAGACACACACACTGATACACACTGAGACACACACTGAGACACACACACACTGAGACACACTGACATACTGAGACACACACACACTGAGACACACTGAGAAACACACACACTGAGACGCACACACAGAGACACACTGAGACACACACACACTGAGACACACACACTGAGACGCACACTGAGACACACTGAGACCCACACTAACACACACTGAGACACACACACACTGAGACACACACACACTGAGACACACTGAGACACACTGAGAAACACACACAGAGACACACTGAGACACACTGAGACACACAAAGAAACACTGAGACACACACACTGAGACACACAGAGACACACGCTGAGACACACACACTGAGACACACATTTAGACACACTGAGACACACACTGAGACACACTGAGAGACACACACTGAGACACACTGAGACACACACACACACTGAGACACACTGAGACACATACACACACTGAGACACACTGAAACACACACACACTGAGACACACACACACACTGAGACACACTGAGACACACTGAGACACACACACACTGAGACAGAGGTGATGTTGAGGGATGTAACGTAAACAGTGTGTTGCTGTGGTAACTAGCACTGGTCCTGGACTGGCTCTGAACCAGACCAGGACCATGGCTAGGACAAGACCAGGACCAGACCAGGACCAGACCAGGACCAGACTAGGACCAGACCAGGACTAGGCCAGGACCAGACCAAGACCAGACCAGGACCAGGCCAGGACACAGAGACACACGCTGAGACACACACACTGAGACACACATTTAGACACACTGAGACACACACTGAGACACACTGAGAGACACACACTGAGACACACTGAGACACACACACACACTGAGACACACTGAAACACACACACACTGAGACACACACACACACTGAGACACACTGAGACACATACACACACTGAGACACACTGAGACACACACACACTGAGACACACACACACACTGAGACACACTGAGACACACACACACTGAGACAGAGGTGATGTTGAGGGATGTAACGTAAACAGTGTGTTGCTGTGGTAACTAGCACTGGTCCTGGACTGGCTCTGAACCAGACCAGGACCATGGCTAGGACAAGACCAGGACCAGACCAGGACCAGACCAGGACCAGACTAGGACCAGACCAGGACTAGGCCAGGACCAGACCAGGACCAGACTAGGACTAGGCCAGGACCAGACCAGGACCAGACCAGGACCAGACCAGGACCAGGCCATTACCAGGCCAGGACCAGACTAGGACCAGGACCAGGACCAGGACCAGGACCAGACCAGGACCAGACCAGGACCAGCCCCTTGAGAAAAGTAGCTCTAATTGCCACAGGATGTTGCCAAGTCCTGAAAATGTCTAAATTTGAAGTAAAACTATTGATATTTAAAAAAGATGAAGAAAAAAACTACAAATAGAAACAGATCAAAGTCATGAAACGTAAATCAGCAACAAACAAACCTCTGTTCTTATATTCTTATATTCTTGTATTCTTATATTCTTACATCGCCCTGAATCACAGCAGTAGTTTTCTCAGATGACTTTAGAAAATTGTGGATTCTTCAACAACAGATCAGAAAATCAAACCGTTCAAACAGGAAATACAACAATAACAACTGAAGAGGGAGAAAAGGAGCACAGGGACTGGCTATAATCTGGAGCAGTCTTCCTGAAAATGTGAGACAGACGACTTCTTCTCTGACAATGTTCAAATCTGTTCTTTTTCGCTACAACTAAAGAATTTCCCCTTTTTGTTTTTAACCTTTGTGTGTTTGTCTCTCTCTGTTTTGTTTGAACTGTGCAATACAAATAAACTCTTTACACACCTCCTTTAAAGTCTGTCCCCGGGGCCTGGAATGTGTGTCTGAGGCTGAGGCTGGGGCTGAGGCTGGGGCTGAGGCTGGGGCTGAGGCTGAGGCTGAGACTGAGACTGAGACTGAGGCTGGGGCTGAGGCTGAGGGGCTGAGGCTGAGGCTGAGACTGAGGCTGGGGCTGAGGCTGAGGCTGAGACTGAGACTGGGGCTGAGGCTGGGGCTGAGGCTGAGGCTGAGACTGAGGCTGGGGCTGAGGCTGAGGCTGAGGCTGAGGCTGAGG